AGCAATACCATAAAAATTATGGGCTAGATTCTTAGCTGGTGGAAATCAACATAGGTTTATTGAAATCATATGAATCACTTTTCATATGAATTCTTTAAGTGAAACAACTTATATGGAAAACATTGTGATTATCTTTAACTGACATTGGAATTTTTTAGGCATAAATGCCTTTTGCATTTCAATTTCAGTAAAAGACTGCAAACTGAACTTTAAATGATCTTTGCTTTCCCCATAGCTTAAATGCTGTATAACTACTCTATTAAAACTTGTAAATGTTCTTTAATAAATGTTGCAGGGAAAGTAGCCACTTTGGCTCTAGAAGCCCAATCCTGCAAACTTTTTTAAACAGAAGTAGCGCATATATATATATATGGGTTTCTTTGAAACATGAGTAGCATATATATATAGTTTCGATAGTCGTGTGTGTGTGTGTGTGTGTGTATATAGATATAGATATAATTATTACAAATAGGCTATTTGTATGTTTAAGGATTATTCGTGTGAGTAGAGTTTGAAGGATTTGCTTTGTCAGTTTAATTTTGGAAAACCATCCTATCAGCATAGCCCTCAATATTTACAAATGGGTCCTGGTACAAAAAAGATTGAGAACCCCTGGTGTCCAATGCCCTGCTTAAAGCAGAACCATCCCCAAGTAGATCATCCCAGCCAAAGCTTTTTCTAGTCAGGTCTTAAAAACCTCCAAGGATGGAGATTCTACCGCCTCTCTGAGTAACCTGTTCCAATGTTTTACTACACTCGCAGTGAGAAAATTCTTCCTAATATCTAACCTAAACTTCCCTTGCTGCAACTTGAGACCATTGGTCCTTGTTCTGTGATCTGCTACCACTGAGAGCAGTCTAGCTCCATCCTCTTTTGAACCCCCCTTCAGGTAGTTGAAGGCTGCTATTAAATGCCCTCTCAGTTTGCACGCATTCAACTCATAAAATTTTCTGCTTCTAAAATAGCAAAGCTTTCTATAATTAGAACTTACTAACTTCTATATGCATGATTAGGCTCCTGACTTTTTACACTATCTACCTCTCAAGATGTAATCCCAGGTATAGATTTGTCACCCCTAATTATTTTTATTGTAGCCTTTGTCCCTGATGTTTTGATTAGAGAATTTGAAGAGCTGTGGCATACTCCAAGAAGTATCCAATCAAGAGATAAGTAATTAGGCAAAGAGGTTTTTTGGGAAGCAGTGGAAATGGAATGAACCATGTTGTTCAACTAATTGTTCTGTTTCTTGTTCTCAATCCCTTGCAGAAACCAGAGGACCTGCCTGTTAACTTGTTGGCAGGGTTATTGAGAGCTTTGTATTGGGAGCTTGTATAAAAGGGAGTGGTGGGAGCAATAACAAAAAATCAATAAAGTAGAAAAGAGTTAAAGTTTGCACACTTTTCATCTCTCACAGAGTTTGTCATCAGGGTGCAAAAGTCTCTGGAAGTATTGTGTAGGTGGGTGGGTGGTCATGGGGAACCTAACCATTCATTCTTAAGAGATTTTATCAGATGCATCAGAGTTTGGCTGTAAATTTGACTACATTGCTGTGGTGCACAGAGAAATGAGTGAGGAAATATCTGATTAAAGTGTACATTGCTGCTGAGGCAACTGGATGTTGCCATAGCAATTGAGATGAAATGTGCAAGAAGTGAGATAATTAAATCTAACCCCTTTAGTAGTTTCGATAGTCAATGCACTGCCAATAGGAAAAGTTATCTACAGTGTTAAAGATAAAACACATTCCTTGTGGAAGTACTCCTTGCTGGTATTTTGTTGATTCCTTTCTAAATACATTGCTGCAGGTACCTAATTTGAATGTTCTCTTTAATAATCAAATACAGTTTTGACCTTGGTCTGCAACTGCCTAGAACTTTTGCTGGCTTATTGTATCATGGGAACTGTCTACACAAAATATACAGAATGGGCTTTTCCCCCTGCTTTCTTTGCTTAAAGTACAGTAAAGCCAGAGCTGTCATGTCTTAGCTTACTAATCAGTAATACCTAGAACGTGCTGCCCTCTTCAGGAGCTAGTGATAAAAAATTGTTGATTCTGTTTATTGATTCAGAAAGTGAAATGAGCAAGCAGGAACTACAAGATCCAGTGAGTTTTTCCACTTTGTAATGTTCATGCTGAAAGACATAGGCCAGTTGCAAAATTAATAAAAAATAAAATCTGACATAAAAGAGCTTTCCTTATTGGCATACAAAGAACAAAGTTAAAACCTGAGGCTATCATGTTCATATCCTCTTATAGCATTTATTTTGCTGGTGAAAGTAGAAAACCCAGTAACAGCCTTCAACTGAGGTATTTTTAAAAAGTAATAAATCATATTCTGAATACAGTCAGATGCTCTGAAATTAATAATCCTGCCTGTCTCATATTAACTGTCAAGCTTAATTACTTCTGTTCTTAGCCGGCATGCTCAGTTGAATCCAGTGAAACATTTAGACCCTGATACAGCAAAGCATGTAAACATCCTTCTGGCTTCAGATACATGAATAGTTGCAGTTATTTCAGTCGGCCAGTCACATGTGTTAAACATGAATTTAAGTAGTTATTCAGTTGGAGCCATGGACCTAATTCTGCAAGCTGGCCCATGGGGGAAGATACTTGCAAATAAGGACATAACCTTCAATCTCCATCGTAAAATATTTGATCTGATTTTATGCAACTGCATATCTTTCAACCAAATTCACACTGTAATGCTGAATGTTGCCTTTCTCAAATATGTTTTGAAATCTCTTTGAAATCAGTGGGAGTTCTGCTAATGTGTGCGTAATGGCTGAATTTCTACGGGGAGAAAAAATCATTTCTAAAATGGCTCTACTCTGGGATTGTAAGGGGTTAAATGTCCTTCCTCAAGTATGGGAAGGACAGTAACTGTACAGCCTCAAAGGGAGGTAGGCCAAGGTAACAGAGGTAGGCCAGCATTTTGGAGATGTGAGGGGCAGGGAAACAAGGCTTGGATCTAGCTAAAAGAGTGGCAAGGATCTCTAGGAAGAAGGCTGGAGCAGAAAGAAGAACTGATGTAGCAAATTTCCTTTCCCTCTTTGGAACTTGGCTGCACTGAGACATACATTTAGAGTTTGTGTAATACTTCCTGAAGTGAGATACTGCTGGCTGAGGGATGCCTTGTTATTATGTCCTTCAGTGGCCAAATACAGAGGGAGATTCTATAAAACATATCTCAGAAACCACAACGTAGAATATATTCAGGCCAGAAGTAGAGTGGGTAAAAGTGGCTTTAAGCCATCTTTGTGATGCTCAAATTTAAGGCTGGATAAGGGCCAGAATGGCTCAGCGTAAATTAGAGCAGCCTCTGGGGATTGTTCCAATTTTCAGCAGCCTTACCCAGATTGCCTGTGTGCTGCAACCTGGAGCAGCTTCGAATCTCTGCGGCACTAAGAACTTTAAAGGCTCCTTCTCTGCCCAAAGTAATCTCCCAACACTGAGGCTGCTCCTGTGCCAGGGGAATTCTCCTCCAGCTGGCACTCCCTTACCACACCTATATTTCATTCTGCAAGTGTATTTCATGCACTTCTCCTTAAGTGTATGAGGCCAGGGCTAGGGGGAAAGTAACATATCAGCCTTTAGATTTAATTGTTCCCTTTTCTGCAAAGGTTTTACGTTCCACCTACATGTCAAAATCTGTTCTTTTGTGTGTGTGTGTGTGCACGCCATAGCATCTGTGATTTTTTTTAAAGTCTTCCATTTCTAATTGTCAGACATATCTTTCAAGACTTAGTTTTATATTCTATTCCCATGCTTCCCCTTTCTTGTACATTTAATATGTATTTTTTTTGGCTGTTCTGTTTAAATAGATGAAAACGTAGATTGTGTTTAATTACAAATGAGTTTAAGACCTAGTCAGTTTTTGGTATAAACTTTTATTCACCTGTCTGTAAAAGTAAGTACTGTCATATCATGCCCTGCTTACTGCAGAGATCCTTAGTCTCCAGATTACTACACTGAAAACAGTGGGAGTAAATTTCTACTTAATGGGAGGGAAGGCTGCAAAGTCTGGGCCCTATTATCTCACAAGACTCTTGTTTTCAAACTTCAGTGTTCAGGATTTAGGGCACTGATCAGAGATAGCTATATGAGACTCGAGCTCTGCCTGGGTAGATAATGACCAAAAAAGGGAAGTATCTGTAAGCTCAGTGGTAACTTTCTTTAAAGGAATTTGCAGTCTTAATTCTAGAGGAAAGAAAATAGCCATAATATTTGGAACAAGTGGGAATCTTACCAGAGACTAGAAAAAGGCCCTGGAAACAGAATGACCATTCCTTCTTTAATTCTCCATATATAAAAATAATTATTTCAATAAAAAATCTAAGAGAGATTATTTTTTAAACATGACATTTGCCAAGGAATTGAAATAAGTACAAGAAAAGCAAACAAAGAAATAACTTCTTTCACTTTGTTGAAAACAATCCTAACACACTATATCTCTGTGTAATAACCTTTTCGTCAGTTTTATGCATCATGTTTTTAAGCTTTCCATAGAACAAGGTACTTTATCTGATCTGTCACTCTGTTACCACTGGTAAGGCAGTTTTGTTCTGTCAGTAGAGAAACTAGGAGTACTTCTCCTTTCCACTGAGAGTGAGTGAGTGAGTCAGATAGCATGTATTACTATGTAGAGTTGTACTGTAGAGCCACGCTATGGTAAAAATGACAGTAAGTCCAGGGGCTGGTTTTCAAAGGTACAAAGAGAAAGCCAAGAACCTAGGTCCATATTTTTCCAAATAGTGTGCTGACAGATACTAATACATATGCAATGCCAAACCAAAAACATGTAATGCATACAGCTTTTTCAAAACTTGGCCCCTGATAAGTATATGTAATGTATATTCAGAACTGCATTAAAATATCGATCTGTGTTTCAACCATAGATTCATTTTACTTTTGTTTTCCTGCTGATGCATTGTGTTTGACATTTAGAATCCCTGTGGATGAAGGAATAATAACTAATAACATTTTCTTTGCTTTCTAGGGTATTTATGGCACGATGATAAATTTCATCTTTCCCAGAATGGTAAGTAGAACGCTGTTTCTACATCTGATAATACTGAATTCAAAGAACAGAAAATAAATTGTTATAATAAAAGGTTGTCAATTTGCTTAAAAATAAATGTACAATCTGATAATTACAATTTTATTACAGTTTTAACAGCTGTAAATATTTGAATATTCAAATGATGCAAGCCATCAAGAAAGTCCTACAGAACATTACATTTGTTTCTAAAGAATTATAAAAAATTACCATCGCTGTTGGAAATATTCCTGAACCTGGAGCATTCAGTACTGTTTTTTCTGTATAATTTATACATGCCTACAGACATAAACATGATTTTATTTTATCAGTAGAGAGAGTAAGTGTTTCTCTCTTTTTAGACTGAGAGAAGGTGAGTCCTTTAGAATGTTTTACTATGTTGAATTGTATAAAAATTGATTTTTATTTATGTTTCACTAGGGCTTTGCTGCATCTGTGAATTTAGAATTGTATATTTTCCAAAAGTAGACAACATTCCTTCTGTGAGTCCTACATGCTATCATGTTGTTTAAAAACATGGTTTCCATTGTTATCTCTTATTTCTATAACTGAAAAGCAATATTTATTTTACTCTTTGATCATGGCATTTTTACAATCAAATAAAAGAAAAAATTCATCATATTGTACATGTAAAGGTCACCCTAAAATAACATTTCCAAGCAAACTATACTGAATCTTTTGACTGTGTTGCTACGGAGAGATGTTTTCCAACAGGTCTTGGGCATATTCTTTATAAAGGGATTTCTTTCCCATTCCATAAAAATGTATTTTGAAATCAGCATAAAACCATTATGAAGTGGAACTACCGTTACAGTGGAAAGAAATATTATTGGGAAAATATCCCATTTGTGCACGTATTCAAACATGATTTGTACCTACTTATTAGCGTTACAATTGAAAAAATGTTGCATCTAATCCCAGAAGGAATTCAAAACCTGTTTTTGAAAAGAGACTATTAAAAAAAATGAATGCATAAGACATACATAAACACAATGAAGGATATTAAATGAGTACCAAGATGGTTTTCTGCTGTCTTTGATACAAACAGAGATGTTCCTGGTGTTCAACAAAATCCAGAGCAAGACACAAGGCTTACACTGAACTTTAAAAATGATGATAGGGGTTTCAATGCACAAGGCAAGGGAATTTTTCTTTGGAAACTTTTTTCTCTAGGAAAGTAAAAGCTGCAGGTGAAGTTGTTTGAAGAGGAAAGAAAACCAATAAAGAAAAACTTGTTTGTAACCTATAGATCAAACCACTTGATAATACCAATGAATACTTTGTTTTGGTGATGTCTATAAGGGAATGTTTACCTGCTTTCAAACAGTGGGTGTTTCAGAAGTATCAGTGCTAATGATTCTTTTGGGGTGGGGGGCGAGGGGGGGGGAGAGTTGTGATTAAAGAATAAAGCAAAAAAAGTGGAACTAACAAATAAAAGAGAACAGTTTCAAGCAGACACTACATTTAACCTCCCTTATCCACAAACAAACAAAAAAAGCAACTTCTCAAGAAGAACTGAAGAGTTATTTTTAATCAAAAAAGATTAACTACATGACAGTTAAGTATGTTTGGGATTAAACCATCAAAGAGCCTGTCTCTTTTGTGTATATTTGCCTATTAGCAGTAGGTACTTGGCACAAGGATCATATGTAGACTGCAGCCACAGACAGACACTTTCAGTGCATGCATACTTTTCTACAATATTCATTAAGCAATAATATTGTCAAAGGTAAATGTTTACTAGCAGCTTTAGCCTACTTAAAGCCATGTTAGCCTGAGGCTGAGCCTGTGAAGGCGGCTAGTGGGAAAGGCAGGGAAGAGAAATGATGTTTCATTTAGGCTGACAACAAATGTATTCAGCTAGTATTCTGGTTAGGGTCAATACAGATATAAGTTTGCATGTTAAATAAAATTATTATTATTGGTTCTGTGCCAAGAGCATGCTTTGCACTATACAGAACAGAGGGGACAAAGGCTCTGACCTGAAAGGGTTCTATGTCTTATATAGACAAAATAATACATAAGTACACTGGGCAATTGGAGGGTGATACATAGTGCAGTTTTTCTTTCTTTCTTTTTCTTGCTAATGTTTTGGGAGGAGTTATAATTGTAACCATGTACGCGTCCCCAAATGTGAGGTTTTGCAAATGATTTGCACATACAGGATTATGATGCAGGCTATGGATTAGCACTGTATAAACATTAAGTCAAACATAAATGTATTCCCATATTGGGTATCTTTTGTATAAAGTATGTGAAATTGAGCTTGCCAATAATATTTCCTTTAATACAACTAGGTTTTTTTTTCTTTGAAAAGGGTGATAAATGCCAGATATCTGAAGAAAATAAATTGTGGAATATAATTAATTTGTACTTTAAGAAAATATACTTTCCTTCTCATTCCTAACTCTAGCAGTGCTTAATGAATAAAGATTAAATGCACGTTACTATAAACAGCACAGCATCTAGTTTTCAGTCAAAAGATCCTTTTCCCTCTGTATGTTAATAAATTATTTGGTACCTCACATTATTGCTGACTACACACACACAGTAACATTTCATTAAATATGCAACAATTTTCTCATTTATACAGATTTTTTTAATTCCATAAACGTTCTTAACCCATAGAAAAAATTTTAGATTAAATTAGATTGGGGAAAAAACTTAATAAATGAAGACTAGTGTTGCTATGATTTCTTCAAGAAGACAAAAATACAGTTCTCACTTCTCTCTCAATTAAAACCATGCAATTATTCTAGTTGATTATAGATCTCTTTTGGGATTCTGGTTTCATACAACTTTTTGGTTCATTTCACAGGAATAATATTCATCTTAATTAGCAAAAACAATTGATGGGCTTTTCTCTTTTTTACAAGAGGGAGTTCATTCAGTCTACTGATTATCACCAGTAGATTGCCCTGATAAATGAAAAGTTCTTGTCTTTTTTAAACAGCAACTGAATATGTTATCTGTCTTCAATCTTGTAGCTTCTTTGTTAGACATCACCTTGTTGAGACAGAATCGCTTCCTGATGAGTGGTTGACCTGATTTTTTGTCTGACACCCTAACATTGCTGGGCATTATGCCAAGTTGGATTCTGTAACTATTTATGACCGTGCATTCAAGGTTCAACTATGCAAATCACAAGTATTAAACAAAGAGATGTAGCAGATTTGTTTTTGAAATGTATTACATAGCTCACAAGGTCAAAGCATTTGTTTTCTCCATTTTAAAATATAGTTTTGTCGGTAATGATCAGTAATGACTGAAGAGATCATCACCTTTTAACATTTTTATTTAAACTAAGTGAGATAGACTATGAAAAATCTTTTTCCAATCCTGCTAGAAAAACAATCATATAGAGTACAGCAAAAAGAAAGAGATGTTGGCTGAAGTAAATGTATACATATGTATACATATTATCTATAATATATATATGTAGGTCAATGCATGTATATCTATGGGCTGAAGTAAATGTGTGTGTATGTATGCATGTATATGCATGTATACACATACACATATCATCATCACTATCATCTTATCTGCCTACGTATATTGTGAAGTGCCTAGCTTCAGCATATAAGACAACAACAAAAATAAAAAGACACAAAAATGTCTTTAGGGTGCAGTTCTAAGCCCACTCCCACCATAAAGCCTCAGTTTCAGAAAACAATATGCGAGAGAAGGCTCTCTAACGTAAGAGAAGGCCTTAGTCTACAGCCTGGGCAGTTCCACAACACTGTAGTGCTTGATTTTTCACTTTTAAGGCACAAATGGGACCTTAATTCTAGTAAAATCTTATCTAGGAAGTTATGGTCAATGGATCTACGCTCAGGCCACAATTATTTCACCCTTTCAACTCCAGCTAGTACCATCTTTACAGGGGAGTCCAACTCTGCTTCTTCTAAAGGGTGCAAAAACACCCTATGAAATACTTCTCCACCATGCAGTGAAACTGTGATCATTTCTTATTTTAGAAGATTATTGAGGCTTCTGAATCTTAGGGGAATTGTATTATATTCAGTTTAGTTTCCTGAATACCACAACCATCTCCAGAGTATCTGCATGGCATACAGGACAAAACTTAATATTGTGCAGTTGTGAAGGGAAGTAAAGGTAAAGAAACTCTTTGGGTTAGGACCTGCTTCTTAATATTTGGTTTGAAGAGAAACCAGCCTTGATCCTGACTCAGATCTGTAGGCACTACTGTAAATAGGCCACCAATCCTATTGTCTTCTGTAAACTTTTCTTAGGTTTGTCTAAATTCAAGTCCAAAGAAATTTATTTTGTTTTTCACAGCAAAAGACACATCTAAAGAATATCTTGTGGTGATGATAATGATGAAAAATGCAGTTTTCAGGTCTTAATGTAAGGGAAATTTTTTTTTACTCCACAACTATGGCCTGTGAACAATTCTTTTAAAGCTAATGACACTTTTACTGACCACAATTCATTATCATTACAAATTTGCCCTTTTAAATATTAAATAATGACTATCACTGCCTATGAAAACATGTTAAAATTCTTAACATATTCTGCTGCTGAAGCCCAGTAACACTGAACAGTGACAACTTTATTCACTTCTGACTTCACTTATATTTGTGTGGTAGAAAACAGATGCATATACATGTGTTGTGGATGTTCTAGGCTTATCACAAAAGTGTAATAGAGAGATTGGAGTTTGTGGGGAACATTTTTCATACATGAGATGAACAATGTATAGAACATCAAAAGATGAGACACTTTTCTCATTAAAACCACATTATTTGATTCATTCTGAAAATATAACAATATATACTTTTTTCTGCATGACTTATCACGTCTTTAAACAGCTTTAGCTTTTTTCTGGGTAGCACTGAAAATTTATGAGAATGAACTGATAGAACATAAGGTACTGCAGAAGCCCTTGAGGAAAAAGTTCAGCTAAGGAGATAGAAATCACTAAAATAATTTTCAAGTGTTAAACAAAAGGGTATTCTCTA